CTTTTTTCCCCCCCCCCCCCCCCCCAGCTAAAAAATGAATTCTCCCTTACTTATTATAACATTTATCTTTTGACAATCATACGAACCTTTAAAGATGATGTCCACTCCGTTCTGCGCATCAGTTCTGCTCACAACAAAGGGGAACCCCCAGATATAAACATTGCCCAAATTTTGCATCTTTCGAACTTTTTTGAATTGTAACGTATAGTTTATATTCATTTACAAGTATAGCGAACCAGAAAAGTGTTAGATATTCAGTTAGTAAATCATATTTTACAAATATAGCAGTTCAAAACGTAAACAAATTTCGCGCATGTGCACAGGAGTGGACATCATCTTTAAAGAGAAAATAGCTGCAAGTCTATAACAGGGCGTAACAAAAGAAAATATTTTGAATGAGATAAGATGCAATGAACGAAAGTGACCAGCATAGGCGTACCGGGCGGGGGAGGGAGGCGGGGGGGGGCGGTAGGCCCCCCCCCCCCCAGTTTTTTGGGCAGTCGGGCAATATTCGATGAACAGTCGGGCAATTTTGGTTTGAAATAACAAAAAGTGGGACAAATTCTGTCAATTTTGTATAAAATGAAGTCAATTTTTTGGCAAATTTTGTGATTTTTCGAAAATTTGTATAATGTTCGGAAAAATATTGGTTGTCCGGAAAATTTTTTTGACCCCTAAAATGGTACACTGACCGAAATTTTTTTGGCGACGGGGGGGGGGTCGCCAAAATTATTATTATTATTTTTAGCACTATTCGGGCAGAATCCCGAAAAGTCGGGCAATTTTCTTTCCGCCCCCCTAATTTTTTCCTTCCGGTACGCCCATGGTGACCAGTCTTCCAAACGTTACCATCGTATTGGACATAAGGACCTCAGTAATATCAAAATATCATTTCGGGTTAACCTCTCGTAACCGGCCATTGATGAACTCGCATGAGCGGACACGAGGCGTCCATAGGAGGTTTGACTGTAGATATTTTATTATGTCGAACAAAACATAAGTAATTTGTAGGCGAGAATAAGACAATTGTCCACTTCATATTAAAACCCTTTAGGACCAATCATTGCACTAAAATACTTTAATAAACGTATTAAGCAGACATACCACAGAGTTTAAGATGATTATTGAATTTTTATTTTAATATTGCAGAAGAAAAATTCGAAATTACAATTGAATTAAAAATTACATTAATTATTGTAGCAACTTAATTAATAATTTTATTCGGGCTCAGACTCCGAGCTCTCTTCCGCGGCAGTTTCCAACCAAGTTAACCACGAATTCACCTATATAAAGAGATCAGAGTCAATGGAAACGTTCATAATGACAAATGAAGGGTGTTGCCATAATTTATTCACACACATGGTGCGAAAATATCTTTGCAAGAAGTTGCAACTTCTAATAATATACATGAAAAATTACTCGAATCTGCTCGGCTAAGAGAGCTGCAATTTTATCGAAATACGTCAAAATGTCAAAAAATGAAATACGGTTGTAGCTATGATTGGCTATTTCTATATCACGTCATAATTAGTGGTTGTTACTTTTATTAGATTGTCGTTGTTATATGAAATTGAGGGCATTTTGATACTAAAATTAAAACTATATAGTATGGGTGGAAAGCGACAGGATCAGGACCATAGACCTTATTCATAAATCGTGATGAGGCCTCGTATCCTAGGATACGGGAACAAAACGCGGGAAAACAAGCGAAAACTGCTTGACATGAGACAAATTCAGAAGCTATTGTGTCGACTTTAACGGCTTGTTTCTTGTTGCTTTTTGCAATTTATAACGATTTTTGTGTGTATTTTAAGACTTTGTTCCCACAACGAAAGCGGTAAACGAGTATATTATAAAAGCGACCGTTTTTTCTCCCGTTTTTGTGTGGAAAAAATGACAACGTAGCGATGGTGTTTATCCAGAAGCGAAAAACAGTATTTTACTGAGATTTTAACGTCAATATAAAGGTTTATTCCGTGAAGAATCAAGACAACTATGGAATGGAAGTATAATTTTTCGAATTTGACATAAATATGAAAGAAAATAACAGTCAAAAATCACAAGAGAACGTCAAATGTTGTTGATTCGTACGGAAAAATATGAACTAATGACTGTGGCTCGATAACATTCTGCAAGCAGCTTACAAGTTTAAAAAATGAAGGCTACATTACCTGAGTGAGTTGTAATCTTATTTCTTCAACAATTGTTTCATATTTCTTACGATTTTGGTGTTGTATAGACGTTTTGTAGCCTTGTTGGTTGTTTGTTTTGGCCATACAAACTACGACAATAATACAAAGTCAAAGGTTTCCTTTTTCGATTGACTCCAGCATCTTTTGCTTTAAATATCATGTTATATTTTCTCAAAAGTATTTTTTTCAACTTTCAAGCTCAGTTTTATAGATATATTTTTGAAAAAAGCCGTAATATTCACGAAAAAAAGCTGCCATAGCCGACAGCAGAAAAAACATTTTGTCAATTTTCCCGCGTTTTGTTCCCGTTTCCTAGGATACGAGGCCTCATCACGATTTATGAATAAGGTCTATGTCGCAGCTTATGTATGAACCAGGTTATTTCTACCTTGGGAAAAATGCAGAGAAATATTGGATATTTAAAAAAATTATATGGCAGACCAGGGGGTCCTGCAGCCAAGAAACGGTTTTTGTCAAACAGGAAGGGATCAGGAAATATGCTTGGTTCTTGGTACACCAAGGTATTTTGCGCAGATTCTTCAGAAATTGTTTGTAGTTGTTTACAAATTCAGGAATTTTGCGCAGATTTTCATAATAGACCTTTCCTGTAATTACGTCACAGCTACATTGTTTTCAACTGAGGACCTCCTTAAATGGAATGGATTTAAAGTTTTTTGTCACAGGCTATGCGCAAAGAAGCAGAGCATCCTTCTTCAACACATGCATGAAAAAGATTTTTTTATTTTGACCAATAAATGTGAAACTAAGCTTTAACCCAAAAAGGAGGCTGAGGGGCAATGGGGCCCCTTTGGGTTTTGAAGCAAGAATATTTATAATGAGACGAGTTTTTAAAGCTCTCGTATTCTTTACAAATCGAATCGTTATAGTTGTTTAAATTTAGTTTTACTAACAAGAAAATGTCTTTCCTATGAAACTTGAAAGATACAGCTTGTGACACATATTCAAATTAACTTTAGAAGGGCTCACTAGATAATGACACTTGGTGGCCATACTGTACATGGAAAAGCGATAACCACAAGCAACACCCAGTGAACTCTATGTAAACTGGAAGGCTAACTAAAGGGGGGTGGGGGTGGGGGTGGGGGGGGGGTTGAAACCAGTGCATTTTAGTTTTTCTGAGTTATAAGCAGAAATATACTGGACGTTGTGCTGTATATGAAATTGAAGCTATTGAAAAACGCTATTTGGTGTAGAAATTTCAAGACTTTAGCTAAAAGGGAAATATTTAGAAACTACAAAAATAATTACCGGTAATTTGCCATTTTTTGGCCGAATGGCAGTTGTTTTGTATTTTAAAAATATTTTTCTTTTCGCTGAAGTCTTGAAATTTCCACACCGAATAGCAATTTTCAATCGCTTCAGTTTGATATATAGCCCAACGTTTGGGATCAAATATTTCTGCTCATAACTCAGAAAATCTATTTTGGCTTCAGTAAATCATAGGCTTTATTATAGGAGTTAGTCTTCCAGTTTACATAGAGTTCACTGGCAACACCACAGTAAATAGCTGCATAATATTCATTTATGCATAGGATCATCCAGTCATAGCTAAATTTAGCTAACGTTTGTTTATATTTACAACTTTAGATAACTCCCATACCAAGTTTCTATCGTTCTTCTTTACAGAAACAGGATAGATCATACGTAACTAAGCATTAGAATTATCTACATGAGTGAATACTCTTATACATAATTCTAATGCTTAGTTACCTTTTATCTATTTTATGTTTCTATAAACTAGCACAACAGTAACTAGATATGAGCAGCGGTGGAAAATTATTTTCTCTTTCTGGGAATCTGGGTTTAGGGCTCAACATTTTCTGCAAAATATTACAAAATTTAGGGAAAAATAACAATTGTCGTTTTTAACCTTACATGGATTATGTTCTTTAAGATGTGTTGGCATATGAAGTAATATGTCTTTAAGACTGCTAAGGCATACAAGATAAATCCTGAAGTAGTCAATAGTAGTTACAGTCATACAGAATAAAAACAACTTTCATACTGCCGGCTATATGAATATTTTCGTTCCAAACTGTTCGGCTGTACATTAGGTATGGAGCTAGTAGATTCAGTGAGTATTCAATCACTTCGATATTCAATCAGTGCAATTAGCTATTAAACATAAAAAAAATCTCTGTAAAAAGTTCCGCAAAAACGTAAATCTCCATACATTTCTGATAGTTCTGATACTTTGTCCCCTTCTGAGTTATCTAATGTTGTGAATTGGGTAGCGATCATGTAAACAACGGTAGGCTGTTTTGAAATCAGTGGCAAAAAGTACGTACAGTACCTGAAAGAGAGCTCGTCCTTTGCCTGGATGTTGGTCATTCACATCTTCTTTCCATGATATGAAGGCGTCTTCTTCAATGATTTCCAGATCATATAACGTCACAAACATACGTAACAACAATCCTGAAACAAAATATAAAGATATTGTTTTGATTCAACATCACAAATATACGTTACAGTCGATTTCACGAAACTTTGACCACAAATCTTCATAATGAGATTCACAAACCAGTTTGCAAACTACGCATTTGATTGGCTTCTTTTACTTCAGCGACCAATCAGGGATTTTGTTTATAAATTGGCTTGACCTATGAACTTCCGAACTTCGCAACGAAGATGCGAACTTCGCAACGAAGTTCAGGACATTTGGGGTCAAAGTTTGATGAAATCGACTATAAACAACAATCCTAAGTGAAAGTACAGTAAGGATTAGCCTCCTACGCAGACTTAGTGGCCGAGGCCCCACCTAACGTCTGCTCACGTTCTCTATACATTTGACTTCCCGGCAATTAATCATCTACACGATAACTGGAAGATCGACCTTCAATAACCTTCACACGCATGGGCTATTATCAACAAGTCTGTACTCTGAAGTTTGAAGAAATGAGAAGAATTGATTTACTATGGGAAATCTTGAAATATACGGCAAGTTTGCTTTGAATATTTAATGTTTACGAATTTTTTTGCTTTAAATTTTTGCCTAAAAATATGAACTGTTTCCTTTTCAACGAAGCTCTAAGTTTCATAAATTACCGTTTAATCACAGGGGGCCCCACTATGAGTTATGATTGAAATAATATTGTATTTATTTTTAAAAACCTACTTGAATCCCTTGATAATCGATTATTTCTTCTCTCGAAATTCTGTAAACATTTTAAACTGCTTGAATCCATTATACTATCACTCTACATGAAGTATAGATGATCGCTGACAAGTAAGAACGCGGGCGCGAAAATACGAAGGCGGCAAAAGAAGGAAGAATTAAACTAAAGGGTTGAAACTTCGACTAGATGACATTTCTAAATGCCTTAAAATTCACAATATATCGATGTTTTCGAATATTTTTTTTCAGATTCTATGTCTTTTTGGATATATCTTCACAACTAATGTAGTATATTCGATAAACGATTGATTTTTCGTATGTTTTTACATGAAACACTCGAAGCGTTTTTTCGCACGATGTGTTCCATAAGTAGGTTGTTCTCGTGACGTCAAGTATAATGAGTCCGAGCCATTTAAAAGGTTTACAGAACTTCGAGAGAAGAAATAATGGATGATCAAGGGATTCAAGTAAGTTTTTAAAAATAAACACAATATTTTTTCAATCCTAACTCACGTTGGGGCCCCGTGCGAAATTTCCGGAGAACAACCTACTTATGGAACACATCAAACGATGACCCGCCGAAGTTTCAACCCTTTAGTTTAATTCTTCCTTCTTTTGCCGCCTTCGTATTTTCGCGCCCGCGTTCTTACTTGTCAGCGATCATCTATACTTCATGTAGAGTGATAGTATAATGGATTCAAGCAGTTTAAAATGTTTACAGAATTTCGAGAGAAGAAATAATCGATTATCAAGGGATTCAAGTAGGTTTTTAAAAATAAATACAATATTATTTCAATCATAACTCATAGTGGGGCCCCCTGTGGTTTAATTTGAGAAAAAATCTTAAAACGTAAAGGAGAACAAATTGATTTTGAAGACTGAACTGAAATTACCTAACAATTTGTTTTATTTGTATTAAACTTATTATGTTTTACTAAGTAAAAACAGTTTATCGGCAAATGTAGTTTAGTTGAATGAACATTTCAAAACATTTTACGAAGCGTTTCAAGTTAAATTTTACATTAAATCAAAGCTCACAAAATGCAAAATAAGGGACAGGTCATAAAGTAACTGCTAGAGTGGGCTGGAGTGATTTGGGATGGGCCATGGAAAATTTTTGGGCAGTTTCGATGGGCCGCCAATTTTTTTGTATGTCCACGGTTGGGTCACCAAACAAAGACCCATGTTAATTATATATTATATAAATATATTAATAATAAAAGTAATATATTAATAACAAAATATCAAATGGAAATGATGCTATTGAAGCCAGTACTTTGTTTTATACAACAACAAGAATTGAGTACAACCAACTGGAGAGCAGCCCAGTATCGTAATTGGTGATGAATGTGTTGGTTAAAAGTACGAATCTTTCAACTATTTTGCAGTTTTGTAAAAAATATGAAAAAATTAAAAATTTAAGAATATCGTGTTGCCATGGCAACACTTGAGAGCGAGCCTGCGTTCAGTGTTGGCCATTTCTGAATACTTCATGTTAATTTAATGTTTGTTAAATATTGGCGAGGGGTTACCACTGAACTATATAACATGGAAGGCTGACTCGAGCTCAAAAAGTGAAGTCAAACATGGCGGAAATTGAAGGCATTCTTGCGCGTCATTCTCAGTCCCCGTACGTGCGCGGTCAACAAAACTTTTATTTTTCCGAGTATTTTTTTTTTATTTTCCGAGTAAAAACCTAGTGAAAAACAGACGAAATTTGAATGAAAAGTTGAATTCTGGTGTCTTGTTTGGGTTCAGTTCTAAATTTTAATTATTATTTATTTAAAAGATGCGATATTTGAGTGGAAAGAAAGCAAAATAGCGCGGGATTGTTGTTTTTGTAAATGACAAATAGTGACAAAACAAAACACAATTAAATGTCACTCAATCTTTCGAAATATCTGTGTTGCCCCTATGGACAAGGGTTTCACACACATAAATAACTCATTAAAATAAACAGTTTAAAGTGCCTATGCGACAATTTTTTTTATGATTGGATTGCAAAGTTCATTTAAAATCACAATATAACTTGTTTTCTAAAACTTTGTAATCTTTCCTGTATGTCAAGATTTTCGACTTCGTTTGATATACAAATGTGACTTAAATGACGTCACACTGCATAATGCGTTTTACAGAAGACTGTGTTGTAGCTTGTTAAAATTCTCATTATCTCAAATTTACAGACGAAATGATCGCTTTGATGGCTCTTAAAGTATGTCACTTTCAATGTCAGTGGAATTATCACATGTTTGGCAAGGAAACGTTTTCTTTCTAAAAATCATTATGCAGTGTGACATCATTTAAGTCAGATTTGTATATCAAACAAAGTCGAAAATCTTGATTTACAGGAAAGATTATAAAGTTTTAGATAACAAGTTATGTTATGATTTTAAATGAACTTTGCAATTCAATCATAAAAAAAATTGTCGTATAGGCACTTTAAGTTTATAAGGCAATCATCAAAGTGATTTTATTAAATATAATATAAAAAACCAAAATTTTCTTACATGTATGGAATTCAAAATTGGCTAAAAACTGTCTCGAAAACTGCAGTTGAAAAGCAGTTTTAGGTCAGGAAAACGGACTAAAATAATGTAAATAATGGTGTGAAAACCGTAAAACACCATAGAAACAAGAAAAGCGAAACAACCAAAGCAAAAATAAATTCCCAATTTATAAAAATACAGATTTATTCAAAAAACAAAAAAAAAGTTTGAAATTAGTTGTTGAATTCGCAACGAAAAATGCAGATTTACTCACACATACAGTGGGAAAAGGCAGTAGACAGATCGATTAGATGAAGGAAATCAGGTTTACATGAAATAGATGAAGTTTATTCCCTTTTTTGCTCTTTTAAAATGAAGAAAAACACAACCCATCACTTCCCGCCATGAAAATAAAAAATGTTTGGCCGCGCGGGTAAGGAGACTGAGAATGACGCGCAAGAATGCCTTCAAAATCCGCCATCTTTGGCTTCACTTTTTGATTACGTAACTGACTGAAGTCAGCCTTCCATGTATATAGTTCACTGGGGGTTACTGCATGCATGTATTTCTAGTACTTTACGTACTTGATTTTAAAGACTAAGTACACCTTGGGTCTTAAGTATGTACCAGCTCAAGTACGCGGCAATGATCATTGGAGTATCAGCCAGGTACGACTAAAAATCTTGAATTATCGCACCCTACTCCCAATAATATCCCGCTAAATGTTACCGCCTACCGGATAATGCCGGAAGTATGTTACCGGATATCCGATACCGGTATCCGGCAACATCCCTAAAGTATAAGCCTGTTTAGTGTTTCAACATTATAAACATACGTTAACAATACATACATACATGCAGTGTACATAACAATAATCCTGCATGAAAGTCAAGATATCGTTTCAAGGCATTTGCATATCCGAATTAGAAAGAATAAATACAAGTACAGTGTACATGCCTTCAGTAAATACACACCTTTTGGAAATTCGTTGCAATGACAGAATACTTGCAATGCATATAGGGCACTGACCTAAAATAGTGATAGCAGATAATACTGTATAATACCAATATGAGGAATTGAACGATGCATTAAATTATATTTCAACTTAAATTAATAACTTCATAAGCTACCGTATATTACCTAATAAACGTCCAGTCTTTAATGAAAGCCCCAAGTTTTGAATCATTAGTCAAACCACTTTTTGTAGTAATAAGTAAATAGCCCTCTTTATTAATTTAAAGGCGTCTTATCTAATAGGAGCGTTTATAAGATTGAAATGGGCAATGTATAGATCAATGAAAGTGCAAACCGTCACAAAGTGTTGTTTATTTTTAACGTAAAACTGCCATGGGAAGGAATAAACACCCCTCTCAAATAAATGTTCCATATCTAAAATAACACCCCGTCTTACAAAAAAATAGAGGCTGATGTGCGATCAGGATGAAACATATTAGGGAGCTTACTGTCGTTCCAATTGAAGTGTTGCTTCAATACATTACCTCGGGCTGACCAATTCATTTGATCAAGTTCCTCGAGATATTCATACACTTCCTAGTATAATTGTAAACTTCCTGTTGAATAGTTTGAATACACCAATCACTTTTGTTGTTTGTGCAACTAACCAATCATATATAGAAAGGAAGTGACCAGAAATTATCAAATACTTGGAATTGGCTCTTTCACAGGAAGTGTATGAATATCTCGAGGAACTTGATGAAATGAATTGGTCAGCCCGAGGTAATGTATTGAATCAATACTTGAGCAACACTTCAATTGGAACGATAGTAAGCTGCAAACGACGTTTTTGTCAACACGAACATCAGATTGCCGAGGGGAAACTGGATTAAAAACTTGTGGTAATCTTTAACACACATGACAAGACATAAGATTTTTAAAGTTTTTTGCTTACTTACACAAGCGCTATGATGCAAAGTGCCGCCTAAATTAGTCATACCAATTTTTAGGTGACGTCTATGTTGACAAAAACGTCGCTTGCTTAAGCTTGCCATTAGTACAGCTAATTCAAAAAAGGCTGTCCTTTGCAAACCTTAAACTCTAAACCTTAAACCTTAAACTCTAAGCCTGCAAAGCATAATTGGAGCATCATTTAATCAGTTTAGAAATCATATATTTCTTACAGACATCATAAATATCTCCTTACGAGAACAATTCATTCACAAATAGCTGCAATATTCAACTACTAAGCTCGAAACTTGTGCTCCCATTAAGCTCTGCGCGCTTAGAGTTTAAGGTTTAAGGTTTAGAGTTCAAGGTTTGCAAAGGACAACCTTTTTTGAATTAGCTGTAAACAAACGCTCTCTGACCAAAGAATTTCATATTTAATTACAAGCTTTCGGCTACCAGTCCGTAACCTTCGACGGGTATATAACTTATACCCGCAGGGCGTTTATTAGAGCATCTGAGCATTTTCATCTGAGCATCTACAATCTGACCGAAACTACTCTGCGAACAGCACACTACAATAGCATACCTGCAGTTGGACATTATCATTCAAGAATTTCTGCAACAGAGGCTAAAATGAAAATCAGAATTTGCATCACGATCAGAATTTGCATCATACGAAAAATAGATTCCGTATTAAAAACACATTTACATTAAAGCCGACGTGCTGAACGATGCAAAGCTTTTGTCATAGAACACTTTCAAAATAGGTGTTTCTCAACCACGTTAGAAAGATTCCAAATAGTTGGACGTTTCGGGCAGAGGTTTTTTCTGAAGAAAATGGAGGGTGAATAGGTTTGGGGATCGGCGGATATTGGCCTAAAATTAATTGCGGATTTCGGTTCTTATCCTCTCTTGGATTCTAGATTTTTTGTTGGATTTGCTCTTGATCGGCACGGAAAGGCAGGCACCAACGGCCCAAGCGTTAACAGACAAAAAGAAAGGTTTCTCATGGACAAGTAAAAAAGTATATTGTACAAAAATTGGATTGTACAATAATACGTGTGTTAAAAAATCGCTCTCCTTACCTCCTACTGGTTCGTATCCATCGAATACTTTTATGAGAGAGACGTGTACTACCACATTATATGTAATATTTGTTATTTATTCTGCCTGAAGCCAAACTATATAAAAGATGTGCGAGCCTTGAAATGATTTAAATCTCACCTTCATATTTTCCATCATTAATTTCTCCTGATCCTGAATCTCTTTGTCCAGCGGTTGATTACGATCAACGTTAGGAGCTAGGCTGGTTGTCATGGTAACATACTTCAATACGCTTAAAAACGATATAAGATAACTAATTAGGCCCACTAATTGCATTTTTATTCTCGTATGTGCGATCATATTAAATCCGAGAAAATACTGAAAGAGCTCGATTCAGGACATACCATGTGGTTAAAACACTTGCAAATTCTGGACTGGAATGAAGTTTTACATCGATGTTATCCTAAAATTAAAAAGGCAAAAACAAAATGTCGCTCAAAGAATAAACTTAAAAATTTAGAAGAAAAGAGCAAAAGTATTTTTACAAAAATCTAAACTAACCTTGATCCATTTATACAAGGAAGAGACATTGGGATCATTTTGTATTTGTTTAAATAATTCGGACTGAGCTTTTAGTTGTGGAGAGAGGAATATCAAACCCTTGAAAAGAAAAGTACTTCTCAGTAACATTATGAAGATAAGTTACGAAAGAGAACATATTACACTGACGAAATTAGTTCTTCTATATAGATGGAGAATACGTCTGTTACCATTCCCAAATTGCCGATTTCACGACTTTAGGAATGTCATTGCTTTCCCAAATGTTTGACACGAAAACATAACACGTCGTTTTGGGCGAGAGAGGTCCGCGGTTTTGGTAATAACGGAATAGAATTGTTCACACAAGTTCGGATAAGCATAAAAAAAGATTTGCATACTGCATAGCACGAGTTACCAATACATGAAAAGTAACTACCACAAAACTATTTTTCCACACCACAAGGACTGAACGGAAATATAAACCTGAAATTCATCACCTACATTTAATTTGCATTGGGCTGTGGTGTTGAAGGACTTAATTACCTGTTCTTGTAAAACCTCCGTCATCTTCTCGGCGTTTTTACCCTGTTCTGCAATTCACAAAAATAAACGTTATGAAGAAACATTTGTTATATTTAATGTTGTAACAACAAATTAAGAAATGTTTAAATTTCAAGCTGTATTTCATCACTACTTATCGCGCAGGGTCAAGGCCAGGGCACTGGTGGAGGTTAGTAGCTAGTAGGGAGATGTTGTGTGTGCTGATCATCCCTACTTGCAGTTGAGAGCTAAGCTGAACTGCGAAGCAGGCAGCTCAACTTGATCAAGTTGAAGGCATTCTAAGGGCGCCTCTGGTAGCCACCTTATGACTCATTACGGAGCATAGCTATACGGTGGAAGGGCCGGTTTGCAGAGAGGAAACCAGGGTGCGTGGAGAAAACCCACAACTTTCAGCAGAGCGTTGACCGACTCTTTTCACATGAGTCCAAAGCGAGAATCGAACCCACGATCTCCGAGGTGAAAGGCGAGCGCTTTGACGATTGCGCCACTAACCGGCTATTTACACCCGGGAAAGGGATTAAGGGAAAGCTTGCTGATTGAAAAGTTCATTAGTTATGGTGGGCATGCAGGTGTCATGGCTGGTGGATGGACATCTGACTGATCTCAAAAAATATAGCGTACTGCCAGGAGTGGAATGAGTCATGATTTTGAAAAGTCATGGGAAAGTCGTCTCATAAGAGTTCCAGATAAATATCTTATAGTATACCTTTCTTGCTAGTCCTACATAGCATACTAATATTAACAACCTCCAAAAGACTAAAGCTACGTTTACACACAACGATTAATCGGGCCGATTACAGGTTTTGCCGAATGTTAATGACGACTATTGTCAGTTGACGATGTCATCAGATGATGTTGATAGCATATTTTTCAAATATCGTTTAATTAAAGCTGAATCGGCACGATTAATCGTTGTGTGTAAACGTACCTTAAAACAGATACTAAAAAGAAAAGCGTGGTTTCATCCTACCTGCCAATGTGGTCGCCAAGTTCACTTTACTGTTGTTAAATAACTCCAGGAGCCAGTCCTAAATGAAACAAGGAAAGGTATAGCAGGAGAAATGGATGTAGAATGATTCATGGAAGCATGACAAATACACAAAAATGTACCTCTCCTTTCAGCTGCTTCAGATCTTTCAAACATTGTAAAAACAAAAGATCCACTGCTTCCATCGCGTTATTCACGGTATGAAGATCAAACACATCCTTAAATAATGAATGTATTAAAGTTATACTGACAGGAAAGTACTCACGAAAGAAATCTGATCACTACCGATTTGAGTACGGAATCCAGTTCCTATATGTCGTGCTTTAGCATTCTACAAACTACCTAGATATTGTCCTAGTATGGAAGGAGGGTGGTGTAGGCACTGAGCTCTATATATATCTGGAGCATGAACTTCAGTCATTTGCCGTAGAAACGAATTGAAGCCAACACGACAGAATTGACGTCCAATAGCTTTAATACCAAGTTTTTAGCAACAGTTTTTTATACCAAGGCACGCTCAATCACAATCGCATTTTTGTAAATTTCAATTTGCAACTAGATAAATTGTGGCCAAGCCTTCATGACAGACGGGACCTCATGAACGGCGCAAAATATTGTAACGGTGTAAGTATTGTAAGTATTGTAAGTTATTAGTATTGGAAAGATATACAGCTTTATTTACAGTTTGAGGCATACGTTTTACACATCGTTCGAAACACTCTTACAGCCCAAGGCCCCATGCCAAGACAGTCTGGCATTATGTATAAAATGGTACGGCCGAAAATGGCTAGTGTGTACAATTCACTTGGCTTGTATACAATGAAATGAAGTGAAAATGAAGACAACATTTACCTCAACAATAAGTCGTGCTGAAAACTTTCCCAGTGCAGCTTTAACAATATCCGATTCCTTGTCAGATTTCGACAGCTTGCGAATATATGATTCAATGCCCTACAAATATCAAACGAGTATGAAAGTCTGCGATTTGGCAAGATCCAACATTTCGTGGAGTAGCAAACCCGGTGACGAAATGCGTTCGCTACCCGGTGACGAAATGCGTTCGCTAAGAGCGTTGAAATCCCATTTACAAACTGATGAAAAGTAAACAATACTAGTATATGTATTAGTTTGCACGAGAGTTTTCTCGTCTCTCATGGCTCGGTTATACATAAATCTAATAACCACCCACACTAATCAACTCTTATTGCCAACTTTAATCACTAGCTCTCATCGACTCTTACGAACTATGATCAACTCTGATTGATTCTAGTGGCCTCTCATAACCTGCATTAACCCTTCAACTCTCGTGCATTCTAATCAACTCTCATCCACTAATTAATTCTAGTCACCTGTAATCAACTGTCCTCAACACTCGTCAATTTTTAACAATGGGCCATTCCATTCTAAGTCGTTTCTGAGGGGTTAAGCCCGTCGGCATCCTTTGATCTCTGCGATATTTCCGAGGGGTAAGGGGAAAATTTACAAATATCTGAGGGATGTTTTGTGTCGGCACTTTGATCTTTTTTTTTCTTAGGGGTTAACATTTTACTGACCTCATCCATACGGTGGATATTAAATGGAATGGCCCAATTTTCTTCAAAGCTCATTCCCTGTATTATCAATTGATTCCAAATCCTCACTTAGACCTAACCTACAATAGAAAAGTCCTATAACTTTTTAAACCTGTTTAACAGACCTTTGTTAGACTTTCTTTCGTCAACATCTTCTCATCAAAGCATTTTTTCAATAGATCTCCAGCTAAGTTTTGATCTTCTTCATTTTCTCGCATTATGGTTTGAAGTAGCTTGACTATCAGTGCTACTTTTGTCCTAAAACAATAGATGTGATAAACCGTTATTTCACAAAGGGAATTGAAGTATAGTTTAGTTTCTGCCAGCACATTTTCAACCTTCTATATTTTTTGTTGGACTTGTGTTGTCCCTCTGGTCACTCCAAATAAACTGACCAAATAAACCTGAAATAGAGCTGTGCTTTTAAACTTCGGTTATTTTAGCTCCGGCAGTCAAAACTCCGGCACCTGCTCCCGCAAGGAAATTTTAAGGAAATTTCATATTTAAAAGTGGAAACAGGCGAAAGTATTTCAGTGTAATTTCAGAATTTATTTTGTTCCTTTTTGAGCTTTCTCCTTTACTTATCAAATATACGTGCTTCGCTGCTTGTTTAATCAAAATACATCGAGGTCAGCGGATTTTTGTATCAAAAGCGATAGCAATGCGCTTGCAGAATTTTCGAAACCACGAATCGGATCGGAGCAAGTAATTAAACTTTATAGTAACTGCAAATAATTCAACTTAACTTTTCCATTAAAAAGTTCATTGAAATATGAAATAATTTATTTTTCATAATTTTGTTTGCCGAAGTTTTTGCCGAAGTTTTCCAACTCCGGCTCCGGCACAGCTCTATCTTGAAAATTTATTATTTAAAGTAAAATACTACGGCTGCCACCAAACTATGGCAGTTACAATGCTTTTTTTTAAACAGATGTTGCAATTTGTAAATATCCTATACTGTTCTCCATAGGGAATATTATTTTCGAAAATAACTGCAGTATACTGTTCAGAAACTATACAGTTCACTTTTACAACTCAAATATGAGTGTACAGTAGGAGGCCATTTTTATATAAATGCGGGTCCTTACTGTGACGAGTTCAAGTCTTTAATACTCTTCATGGTTTCAGCAACATTTCTTGACTTTACAAACTCTTCCACTATTGCTACCTACAGTAAAGCAAACATGGATACGTCGTGGGCCTTTCATTTGACATGGACATATACACTTCATCAAGGAAGGTTTCCATGACCGCCGTAAGAAGCACTAGCCCTAATATGGGTACACTGTAGTTTTCCCCTACAGATGCCATGTCTATATCAGTGCATCTTAAGATCTAAAACTTGGTACGAAAAGGAGATAAGGCGATCAATACAGGAGATTGATGCAGTTGATATCTATTTAATAAGCATACCATGTTGTAAACGCTTCGTCCAAGACCGCAATTATCTTAATGATAAGTTTAAAGTTTGTTACTATGTAGTATGCCTGTAATATTTTAGTCATTAAAGTTCGACTAACACCAAATTTTATTTTATATATACTGTATATGTGTCATATTTGCCTAATGTAACATATCTTTACAATAAACAGTGGGGATCTTGACCAACGTTTTCACAGTCAAGATCGAGATATGATATAATTAGATGAATTTTTGAAGCAAATAAAACCTAATTTGCTTTTTACATAATGACCGGCAACTTTGACAGTCAATCAAATCTGATATGCAGACTGAATGTTTTGTTTTATAAATAAACATGACAGGCTTAAATGAACGGTTCCTATGGATATACTTAATTGGATATAAGTAATGTTTTTGCAAAGGCGGAGCAAACTTGACAATAGCGAAAGTGGGCGTATTTCGTTTCTTGATGAATTGTCGGCAGTCCCTCCTTTCCCTTCGCATGGGTGGGAAGCTAAACTCGCGGAAAGGAGGTACCGCTCGTAGTCGAACTCTCCCTCAATCACTCTCATCAACCTTCAATCACTCTCATCAACCTTCATTCACTCTCATCAACCCTCATTCACTCTCATCAACCCTCATTCACTCTCATCAACCCTCATTCACTCTCATCAACTCTCACTCACCCTCATTCACTCTCATCAATCCTCATTCATTCTCATCAACCTTCAATCACTCTCATCAACCTTCATTCACTCTCATCAACCCTCATTCACTCTCATCAACCCTCATTCACTCTCATCAACCCTCATTCACTCTCATCAACTCTCACTCACCCTCATTCACTCTCATCAATCCTCATTCATTCTCATCAACCTTCAATCACTCTCATCAACCTTCATTCACTCTCATCAACCCTCATTCACTCTCATCAACCCTCATTCACTCTCATCAACCCTCATTCACTCTCATCAACCCTCATTCACTCACATCAACTTTGAGCTGCTTCAAATTTTAATGAGTGTTGATGAGACTTTTTGCTCGCTTGGCCGTAATATCCATTCAGTCAACTCGTATCAGCCCTGACGCAACTCTTCTCGCTTGATCCGAGGCATGAGAGTCCATGCAAACTCTCGTTTCTCAACTCCCAACAACTGTCATCCTTGTTTGGCGGGGTCTTGTGTGATTATATTGTGTGATTGGGGGAGTCTTGTGTGATTATATACTACTTTAAAGCAAGCTTACCACTAGCTTATCCGTATCAACTTTGGGTGCGGCAGGGGCTTTCTTGCTTGGTTTTGGCTTTTCGTTTATACCCGTTGCTTGGCCATTCTAAAACGATGAAACAAAATATGAAGATAGATTACTCGATGAGCTGTGTAC